TTGGATTATTGGAAAACACTGGGGACTAAACTTTACAAACAGCAAATTAATTTATAAGATGGCAATTGAGCCAGCTATTTTATACGCTGTCCCTGTATGGCAAGACGCACTTAACAACACACATTTGCAAAAAATTACTGTCGATACAGAGAAGAACAGCAATAAGGATTACTTGTGCTTATCGAACAGCTCCGACAGATGCAATACTGGTACTGGCTGGACTAATGCCAATACATATCACAGCAAGAAAAACAGTTTGGAATTGGCTCTGCACTAATATTCAGCTACACAGTTACACACAGGAGGATATTGAAAAAAGTATTAAAAATAAAATGATTCCAAACAGCTACTAGAATATACCTGATATTATTAAAAAAATATGAAATTGATAGAACTAGTAATGATATATGCCTCCAACTACACCCAGCTGACATGCACAGCTACGAAATAAGTTTTGATTATAATCCCAAAACAAACAGATACTTTCAGTGGATAGTGTACACAGATGGTTCTAAGCAAGAGTGTGGAGTGGGAGCTGGTGTGTGCATTCAAAACAACAACAATAAGACAATATATCAGGCCAGATTAAAACTTGCTAAATATTGTAGCATTATGCAAGCTGAACTATGGGCCACGTACGAAGCAATCACCCAAATAAAAGATAACTTAAATAAATACATAAAAGGTAACATAAAATTCCTTATTGACAGTAAGGTGGTTCTCCATGTCTTGGCAAAAACTGAAAACCTCACGCTACTGGACAAAGAAGTTATTAAAGTAGCACAATATCTCAGTACTACCCGCAATATTCAATTCAGTTGGATACCAGCTCAAAAAGGATATAAAGGAAACGAACTGGCCGATTCTTTGGCCAAAATGGCTGGTACTCTCAAGACGCAGGATACATATACCAGGTTACCAAAATCAACACTGAAAAATTACTTAAACGAATGGGCACTACTTGAATGGCAGGAAAATTGAAATAATTCTACAACGGGGAGACTTTGCCACTAGTTTATTCCCTCTATTACTAATTGCATCAAGGCTAATTACTACAAACCTAGATCCAAAACCACCCAATGTTTAATGGGGCATGGCAATTTTATGGCCTACCTCTAACACTTTAAGAAGAGAAACACTGATAAATGCTGGTGCGACAATAATAGTGTAGGAGATGCCATTCATTTTATATTCCACTGTGAACGATATGAGGATCAATGCATTCCATTCCATAGGGAATGCCTTCAAGAAGGTCATAATTGGCCACCGACACTACAAAACATTTTTGATAAGAAAAATCTCTGGAAGTGTTTTGAAAGGTTTATTGAGAGCACCAGGGCTCTTCTGCCAGACTTCTACAGGAAAGAAAAAGTTCTTCAGAATGAAAACAAGAACAGACAAGATGAGCAGGAAGATAGTGAAAAATCGGAAAAGTGATGTTATCAGCGATTGATTGATCGGCTGTGTAGAATTCTTCTGTACATAGTTTAGTTGTCTAGTATTAGTTTAGTTTTAGATTCTAGATTTAAAAAAAAAAAAAATCCCATTTACATGTATCGGGTCCTCACATACCATGTAATCTGTATTATTATATCATAGTAAGCTGATATTTACATTCTCTCTGCGTGTTAAAATTTTAATCAGTTCTTATTGTTATTGTAACATTGCTGTGTTCTGCCCATACGTAATGGGTCTTGCATTTTACTGTAACTGGACCATTTCTCGTAATTGTTAATAGTGTATAACGGTCTTGTCAACTTTTGTAATTTTGGTTATTAATAATTTCCGATGCAGCGCTCTGAGGTCCTAATAACTTTTTTCAGCGTTACTTTTTCCATTTTCCTTTATACTTCTCCCTTCAGAACCCTTCCTTCAACCTTTTCTTCACTCCTTTCTCTTCGTAGTGGGCTAAGTTTGCAAAAGCAGACAGCCCTTCCTCCTCCTTTATTATTATTATTATTATGTTCATATATATGTGTTTTTTAAGTTGGGTACTGTTGAAATCTGCTGACTACCTGGATTTGCTTGTATATTGGGCAAGAATGATTACCATAAACCATATTCATCATGTTATCTGGGTTCTGTAACCTGAAGAAGAAATTTACCCTAACAAAAAAAAAAAACACATAATGAATTATGTTCATTATGTGTTTTTTTTTTTTTTTTTTGTTAGGGTAAATTTTAAAATCTCCACAATTTGTGGAGATTTTAAAATTTACCCTAAGAGAACAATACATTAATATCAGAGACTGTGGGACTATCTTTTACTTGGCAGTCATTATTTGATAATCGTAAAAAAAAAAAGAGAAACAACAAAGATGTGATGCACTGTAATAACTACTAGCTACGAAGACACCATGGTTATTTTTCTTTTATTTTTGTTCATAATTGTGTTATAATTTTTTTTAAGTATTTAAAAAAAATAGAACACAAAATAAAATACAATTGTTATATTGAAAACTCAAAAACACATGATTTAAACAATGTAATTTACATCAAAGAATATTTTATACCAAAAATAGAATTTCTATTTAAATTTTGTTCTATAACATGAAGAAGGCTTATCAATCAGAATGAAAACGTTTGTTTTGATTACATTTAGTTGCTGGAAAGATGTGTTTCATGTATATGCTGGTGAAGTTCCAGCTTAGACTATTATTGATCTATTGTGGCACCTATTTTCTTTTTAATAAACTGATTTTTAAATGTTGCAATAGAGTTCCTTTCATGGTTCTGAACAGAATAGTTAGTTTTAAAAAGCTCATTAATGATGTGTCTTTCCAATTAATGACATAGTTGTTATGTAAAATTCTGCTAATGCAATAGTCTCTGTTTGGAAAATATCTCTCTTATTCTCCACTTTAATCATTCTTCTAAACATATTAAAATGTTACCCATATATAAAAAGGTATTATATGTTGTTCTGACAATACAAATGTTACATCTGTTGACAACTAACACTCTATATATGCCTATATTTTAGTAATAGAAATATGTTCTTTGTAGTTTCTTAATGAATTAAAGATTCTCCCAATGTAATTGTATGCACTGATGTATTACTACAAATTCTCTAAAATAATTCAGAAGCCATTGAACTTAAAAAATATATATCTAAATAATACTTAATAACTGCTAAAAATAAACTGAAATCCACAGCAGTCTCTATTTTCTGTTTCTAACATTCTTCCTGAATTCTATAACAAGATTTTCATTTTCCTGGCTGTTATATGTAACAGAGTAACAATGTTATATGTAAAATCAATGGTAATTGATTGCATAAATTTGTAAACCAAGTGATTTTGATACAGATCTTCTATTCCAAATTTCAGTTGTCTAGAACTGCAACAAACCAATAAATAATGTATCAAATGCTAGCATTTGACACATTTTTTATTATTCTCTCTCTCTAATATAAATGCATTTTGAATCACTAAGACAGTATGATTATTACAGTATTATATCTAAAAATAATACAACTTTTAAAAACTAAAGATAAATAAAACTCTGGTTATTACAAAGTAAAACGTAATTGCTCACAATTACTTGTGTAACAAACACATTCTCGAGTGATGTTTGAATGAGTTCACATTCACCTATTAGTAGGTTATGTTTGACGACTACAGTATACTTTAACTATTGGTGAGATACTTCCAATATTTATAGTATTTGTATAGTCAGACATATAACTGATACATCCATCAAATGATATTGACAATTAACCACTGGTGAAATACTTCTGATGACTCTAGTGCTTATAACCACACATATATCTAACACAGCCAAAAGAAATTTCAACAGTATTAACATTTAACTGCTGGTGATGGCTACATAACTCTATATCATATATGTTATTATATGTCTTGGCCAGAATAGCACATATCTAAATAATTCTACAACAATACAAAAGAACTGTGTCTAATTGTAATAAAAAAGTCCATAAAAAACATTGTATATCAAGCTAATAAAAAATTTACAACTAAAGATACAAAGCTTTTTGTGGATGTTTTTTATATGTCCTATTATAACACATATGATTAATAAACATAATTAATACAATTAGCTCTGCTTAGTATTTATAAATCAACTAAAAACTGAATAAACTTAAGGTGAAGATTGACAAGTGTTCGTGCATTTACACTATATAGTGTTCAAAAGACAAAATAAATATTTAGTTAAACATTATGCAGTACTTTTGTTTGTTAAACATCTTGGACCATCAATGATGTTTAAAATGAGCTATAATTTGTATATAGTTGTTTGAACTGATATTTATAAAATTTGAATACAATAAAGAACTTTTAATGTAAAGACACTGTTTTACCTCTTCACTAACAATTTCTTATCCACCCCTATCCCATTATAGTGGTACCCACAGACTCCATTAGCAGGGCTGTAGATCTGAGGCTTCTTTTGTGTACTGTACATAAGACTTCATACAAGTTTAAACTGAAGTACTGACTAATGCACTGACTATAGATAGCCTGAATTCAATTTCCTGAGTAAGCATTAATTGCTGCTCTGAGCCAACTCAGCCTTTATTATAATGAGTATAGTATCCTCTCAGTAGTAAAAAAACAACTGGTAGGCAATGCGACAAACTAAACAGACAGCTGGCAAGATTTCCAATTTCGATACTGATATTGGCATCAATACTTTTGAAGTATCAGGACATTTTTACTCGTGTACCAGTATGCAAGATTACATATGATTTATTAATCAATACAAATAATTTTTTAAATGGTTTTTGCTTTATTGCTTGTGTAATATTGTGTATCACTAACAATACTCTGTTTATATTATATAGTACTGTATATTCATCACCCCTTTGATGACCGGTTTTCCTAAGTTTTGGAGAAGCTTGTTAAAGAACTTTCACTATAATTTTTTTACTTAAAATCTTTATTTTGGATTTCATAATACAGAATTTTATTGATCTTATCTATAATATTAAACTGAAATAAATGCCAAATATAAAAATGGAAAGCACAATAACCTCTTACCTCTTCTTGGTATGTTATCTAACTGACGTCTTTTTCTTACAACAACACAAGCAACAATTAAAATAACAATCAGGACAACAAGAGCACAAGCACTGGGAACCATTATACTCAAGCTTTTATAAAATGTAGGTCTTCTATCATCTGTACTTGATAATGGGGGAATTGTTGCTATAAAAACATAATATTAAAAAGTAAATCTTTCAGTTAATAATTACTATTATTGATTTGCTTACAAAAAAACTAAATAATTTCTTAATTTTTATATAAAAATTCTGCCAAGCTAAATAAATTTATCTTTTTTTTCTTATAAAAATAAAGTTTGGAATAGTATTTTTCCAATGTTTGCTTTCTTGAATTGTTCTATATTTTTGTATGAATTATTTATGCTTAAGCATAAATGACAAGTTAAAAATGGATAAAATAATATATGTTTAAAGAAATTTTATTACTCCAAGTTTTTATTTTTTTCTGTACTACATCTATGTAATACATTATAATTTTTATTTTCTATAGTTTTTTTCTTTTTCATGTGACATTTAAAGCTTTTTTTTGTTATCATATAAAAGCAATCATAACAGCAATCAATTTAATACATTTGATAATTTTATTTCATTGTTTAGTTATTAATTTTACTTCAGATTATAAAAGAATATTTTTAATAAAAGAAGTAAATTTATAATCTGAACAAATTTTCTTATTATGATTAAAATTAAAATGTATTCATTATAAATAATGCTGTATAGTGAAAGTAAAACTGTCAACATAATAATTTCTAATGTACTGAATGTAAATGAAAAATCAATGTGTTTTATTATTATTAATTTTTTCAGCTAATTTCCATCCAGATAAAATTTAACAAAACTTAAGAACTAAAATTATAGTTTTAGAAATATTCAGATATCAATTATATTATTCTATAATTGATTTAGTATTTTAGAATAAACTTAACTTACCACCACTCAATGTCAATGTAGAAAAAATGTATTCTGCTTCAGTTGCTCCAGCATCACTATGTGCAGTCATCAATAAAGTGTACCAAGTACCTGGGCTGAGATCTGAGATAATTGATACTTTTTGTTCTGGAACAATATTATTAGAAAGTAAAATCCATTCTGCCTGCATATGGGCTTTGTATTGTACAACAAAAAAATTAATGGGGCATCCCACACTATGCCATGTGTTTAAATGAAGAACAACAGCTGTTGCATTAATAGTAAACAAGGCATCTTTTGTCGGTGCAATCGGCACTGAAAATTTAAATTATTTTAAAAAAATTAGTATCATTTCATTAATCTCTGTATGATTCTTCTGTATTATTATTTTATTAGCATAATATAATTTTACAAATAGAATTTATTCAAATTTTTAGTTGTCATTTACAGTGTATTTTTACAGTTATTTAATCTAAGTTTAGAAAGTTACACAGCTTGACTAACAATTTAATTTAAATATTTTTTCTGATAACACTACAACTTTTTTTTTCAATTGGTCAATCATAAAACTAAGTATTTTAAAATGTGTTGTCAGCCAAAAAAATCTCATAATCTGGCTTTTCATAAATATTTGCTGCATTTTACAAACAAGCAATGATATTATTACTGAAAAATTCTGTATAAAATGAGTGTTTTACTTTCTCAATTAAACATATAATATACACTGGAGAAATAAAAGAGTATAAATAATATAAAATGATAAATAAATATTAAGTGTATTAATGTTAGTTCTACCGTATTCCTATTCTTTCAATGATAAAATATGTCATTTATTATCTTGATCAGAAAAGAAAATATTGCAATGTTCTTGTAGAACATATTCTGCATTCTATTCTCAAACTCCCTCTTCATATTTCCAGAACTAAGTAGCATAAAACTGACCACACATTGTGTATTCTCTCTGATATGAATAGTAAATTGCAGATTATTCAGAAGAAAATAATTTGTACATTATTAAAGGATAGATATCTGTACTTTTTCACTTGATAGTCATTACTCATTACTTGTTAAGAGGTAACAAAACTGAAGTAGATAAAACAAATTGCTATTGATACTTAATTACTGAGTATCTACTACTACTAGTATCAAATATTGTACTTGCAATTCCTACTCAATAGAATTTCATTGGAGTCATGCTAGTTTAAAGGGCTTCTTTTTTGTATGTTATTGTTTGTTTAAATGTTTGCTGTTCCTACTTCGGTTAATCAGATTTTTCTTATATAAACGAATTATGGTTCATGTCTACTTTAGAAGCTTTTTAAAGTTAATTATAGACTTTTTATTCATGTAGTGAATATAAATTATAAATTGCAAATATGCAATTGTGGATATTCAAAAATTCCTACAAAAACTTTTGTTTGCAGCAAAAATGGTTTAATTATTGCTTTTGCTGCAAACAAATGTCTTTGTGTTAATTTTTGACTTTTTATTAAACATACATGACTGAAGTTTAAGAGAGCAACATTTTATCCAATTGTATAATTTGACTATGACTAGTACCTCAGATGAACTTGGATTTGGTTGTTTTGTTTATTTTTAATTGCTATGGTAACCAGACAATTCAGGCAATTAAAAAGTATTCCTTTCTCTTTTAGGAACTCATTTTCAGTCAGAATCTTATTCATATTTTGAAATGTATGAATGTATAAATTTCCAAATTAATACTTAAGTGAGAGAGATATTCTCAAAAATTTTTTATCATCTAGAAAGAAATAGGTTAAAAAACACCTCTTATGATTTAATAAGTATTTAACATATAAAATAAGTTTTGATTTACAGCATTTAATCTTTTTTAATTGCTAATGTTTATAATTATAGTTAAATTGGTGGAGTTACTATTATCATTAATCTGTAACAACAGGTAAAAATTAAATTTGTCTTGGCTAATTTTTATGTTAGGAAGTTGTGAATGTGACCTTTGTCCTTGTAATCGTCTCTCCTCTGCAATGTGAGGGGTGAGTTGAGTTATGTAAACCCTGTCAAGGGAAGTTATACTTGGGTTCCAACTTTAGTTGGTCTTGAACATGTGTTGTGCTCTAACATACATTCCTTTTTAGTCCTCTTATTCTTTGTGTTACCTTCGACACCAACCCTTCACTATATCCATATTCTGACATTTTATAAAATGTAAGTTTACAAAAAGTTTAAAAAAAAAAAATTCAAGTGCATTTGAAAGGACTGAATGAAAAGACACATCTTGTATGTATTGTCTACTCAATAATTTTTTAAAAAATTTTTTGTAAACAGGTAGAAAAACTAAATACAAACCAAATGCCGAAAATCTATTGGGCTAGTTTAAGGCTAATTACTAAATAAATTACGTAACCAGTTTGGCTCTAGAGGTAAGCATTAGGTGCCATCTCTTATTAACATTAATAATTATAAATAAATTAATTAATTTAAATAATTTAGAACCGCTGGGAGAAAAATCGGCCCAAAGCGGGACTCGAACCCACAACTCCTGCTTACCGTGCAGATGCGTTGCCAGTTACACTATCCAGACCTCCAGTCCGATCTCCTCTTCCAGTGTATCAAAGCTAACTATATAACCATCGACGGTCATTTTCTCCCAGCGGTTCTAAATTATTTAAATTAATTAATTTATTTATAATTATTAATGTTAATAAGAGATGGCGCCTAACGCTTACCTCTAGAGCCAAACTGGTTACGTAATTCATTTAGTAATTAGCCTTAAACTAGCCCAATAGATTTTCGGCATTTGGTTTGTATTTAGCTATATTATATATCGAGTTTAGAGATGTTTGTATACAGGTAAAAAAGTTTACAAGGTTACTAAAATCATCACCAAACACCTTGGCTGCTGAAACATGTTTATTTGCTATGACATTCCATATGATCATCTGAGGATGGCCTATACATTAAAGCTGAAAACATTAGTGTAGAGCAGGGATGAGCAACACGTGGCCCGCGGGCCACTTGCGGCCCGTTAAACATGTTTATGCGGCCCGCCAAGCATTTTTAAAATTGAATTTATTTTATCGACTTTCTTCCATCAATATATTGTTATAAAATTNTTGCTGTCACTTCAATAACAATTCCAGATCTTTAGATCCTTTAAATCTGCATTTCTCAACTGGTGGTTAGCAAGACCTAAAAGTCTGTGGAATTCTGTGAGGGTCTGTGGTCCATCATGGTGTAGGGATTTTAAGGGTTTGGGATATGAGAAAAATTGTGAACCACTGCTATAAATAAACTTACTTTTTCTGAACATGTGACATATCCATCATTGCATCCAGTCACAAAACATGTTTTTCCTATCATTAAACTGCACATTTCTAACTAATTTACTGAGAAAGACACTTTGCCACTAGCAAATGAAGCAAATATTGGTACCCAAATAATTTTCATTAGTAGTTGATGTTAGCCTGTGGATTTTTAAGGGGATCTTAAAATTAATGCTAATCAGGTTTTTCCGAAATGTAAACATCCCTGGGAAAAAAATAGTGAGTCAGATCAGAGGTCAGTGGGAAAAGTTGACACTTAGTTGTCAAGAATGCACTGTCATCATCAACAATCATACAATCATGTGACCCTTTTCCCACGATGAACATATAAAAGCGAGAGTTACTGGAAGCTCAAGGCGATCCAAAGGAAGTTATATTTGTTGAATGTGCCATCCTAGTCTCCTGGACCTCCACCAATTTAGATTAAGGAGAAGACCCTGGTTGGAAGACATAATGGCCCCGAACTTCCATACAGAATCCAGTCATTGCATACATCGGTCAATTAATGCATAGAGGTATTTTTGATAGCTGTGGAGAGAGAGTTCTCAGATTACTAACAGGAATAGGCTTAGTTACCCTTTTTGTATAGAACTTCATTAGTATTTAACCGCATGTAACCGCATTTAGCTTTCTATAACCTCCTGTAATCTAGATTTAGTCATATAATAAATACTTTGTTATAATACTGTTTTAAACCTTTGTTAACTGTCACTCTGAAACTTGGACACCTGCTGACTTGCTCAACTCCCTCACCACTCAAAGAAAAAAAGCCATCCAAAAGACAAAGTGGGCGAGTTTTACCAACTCGACATGTAAGAGGCAATTAGTAATTGACCTTGTGCCCTCTTATTCTCACATCATAAATCATAAGTAAACAAAACAACAATTTTTTTTCATGCATATGAATCTAATAGAGCACACAGTTACATGAAAAAATAGCCAACTACAACTATTGTGCAATCTGGTAGATAATATTTATTTGTTCACATAACCTTGGATGGTTTTGAAACAGAACTCTCTTACCTTTCCTTCTTACACCTTGATTCCAAACACTAGGTATGTTTATGTTTAGCTAACCAAACACAGGGTTTTTGGCTGTATTTCATGTCACTTCCAGTTTATTTTGTTTATCTGATAGCAAATGGCATTATCAATAGCTTATTATTAGCTTCTTCAGCCAAGATGTTAAATGACTTGACAAGTTTTTTCTATTATAACAAATATAGATAACAAAGCCTTAAGAGGAGATGTCATGAAAATGCTGTAATAGAAATTGTTTCAATTAAACAACTGATTGACTCAATCCATGCCTCTTATAAATGTATCATACAGATTACATAAGAACCATTCTGAAATTGTTAAAAATACTGAAAGGGAAATTCTTACTTCAAGAAAGATCAAAACTTTTTGCTGTGACAATCACAGTGCATTTAACTTTATTCATTTCAAATGCTCTTATAGGTAGTAAATCTTATTCTAAGTAATTGTATGCTGTAAGTCAGTGGTTCCAAAGTGGATGCTACCATCTCCTGAGTAAATCTAGAGAGGTGAAAAAAGTGGGGTTCTGAAGGCAGGGTTCCAACCAAACAGTAACCATAAGCAAGGGTTTGGGTCGCTGACAACCTTTCTCTTTCCTCAATTAAAATGGGTAAGAAGAAACATTGCATTTAATGATTTCCAGAAGTGGAAAAGAATGTATGGTAAGGAGAAAAATGTGAGGTTCATAGAAAAGTTTTTCTAAAAATATTTTCAAGCCTTTCTCACACAAGGGAAAATGGTTGGGTGCATTGGGGTACAAGTTTATGGAACCAAGGGGGCAGTGGGAATCACTGCTATAAATGCTATAAGTGAAAATTGACTCACCAGCTTAGTAGTAATGATATCTTGTTCCATAATTCTGCTGTTGAAATGTCTATTTGTTCTGCAGGTAACTGTTCTTGTGAGAATGTTAAATTAGTTAGCTCACCTGTTTGTAATGATGATTCGGCTCTTCTAGGTTCAGTATATTTGGTGATAAGATTTGATTCGGATTCCAAAGGTTTGATATTATTAGTCAGAAATTTTCGACAAGTAAGTGGTGGTTTTCCTCTCTTTGTGTGAGTTTTCCGTAAACGACCAGGATTTGGTTCTATTCCAGCAATTAGTAACAATAAAATAAGAAACTTAATATTATTTATTTTAGTCGAAAATAATTTAATAATCTTCATCTCTTGAATAATTAGACAAACTATGGAAGTGGGGAGAAATTCACGCCACAGCTGAGATGATCAGAGCATCCCCCAAATGCTGATTATTTAATCCAATGCTGCATATAACTTCAAAATTTGATATTGTAATAGAATAAATACTAAAATATCTAATAGTTTGAGATTCTAAGATTTTGAATGGTGTTAATTATTAATAATGAAAATTAAAACCATGCTTATTAAGATAATGTTTACAAATGTCAAAGTTAATAAAAATAGGTAATGTATTTTTTTTTCTTGAATGTATTATGAAACATAGCAAAAGGTTTCATAACTGTATTGTAAATATTTCAACTTTTACACTATATTTTTAAAAATTTTATTTATAGATTATATATATTTTTTATTTATGTATAAATTACCATAATAATAATATATGCCAATAAAAATAATTTTGGATCCCAGAGAAATGCCACACATGCCCTTTCAAAAAATTTTGTACTTTAATCTTACATGCTATAACACAAGATAAATATTTCAGATATTTAGCTCTCACACAATGTTATTATTAATAGATATCAAGAACAGATTGTTAAACATATGAAATTAGCAATTATCATCACCTCATTTTTGTAGTGAAAAGGATTGATAATTATTCAATGATTCAATTGTTTAAATTTTTTAAATTCTTCAAAATTATTAACAAATAATTTTTATAATGAAAATCTATGGAACATAGTATTATGTTTTATAATAAAAACCTTAGTATTTTTTTATTGGGACATTTTCTTTTGTCTAAACTATGCTGTTCAGCAAGTTATTATTTTTTTTGAAGTTGCAGTAGTCATTGATTGATAATATATAATTCACATATCTGTTTAACAGCAATAAATTCTAAAATAAGTTTTGCTTTTATTTCTGCTGTCACAGGATGTTACAAACATGTAAACTTCAATTGAATCCGCATTCAGCAGAAAGAATAATTACTAAAAATCATCACCAAACACCTTTGGCTGTTGAGATACACTTATTTGTTCTACACCAGGGGTGAGCAACCTTTTTAATCAACGGGCCAATTTAAATTTTAAAATTTTTTGGCGGGCCGCACATAAAGTAATACTTTATGTGCGGCCCGCCAAAAAATTTTAAAATTTAAATTGGCCCGTTGATTAAAAAGGTTGCTCACCCCTGGTGTAGAACAAATAAGTGTATCTCAACAGCCAAAGGTGTTTGGTGATGATTTTTAGTAATTATTCTTTCTGCTGAATGCGGATTCAATTGAAGTTTACATGTTTGTAACATCCTGTGACAGCAGAAATAAAAGCAAAACTTATTTTAGAATTTATTGCTGTTAAACAGATATGTGAATTATATATTATCAATCAATGACTACTGCAACTTCAAAAAAAATAATAACTTGCTGAACAGCATAGTTTAGACAAAAGAAAATGTCCCAATAAAAAAATACTAAGGTTTTTATTATAAAACATAATACTATGTTCCATAGATTTTCATTATAAAAATTATTTGTTAATAATTTTGAAGAATTTAAAAAATTTAAACAATTGAATCATTGAATAATTATCAATCCTTTTCACTACAAAAATGAGGTGATGATAATTGCTAATTTCATATGTTTAACAATCTGTTCTTGATATCTATTAATAATAACATTGTGTGAGAGCTAAATATCTGAAATATTTATCTTGTGTTATAGCATGTAAGATTAAAGTACAAAATTTTTTGAAAGGGCATGTGTGGCATTTCTCTGGGATCCAAAATTATTTTTATTGGCATATATTATTATTATGGTAATTTATACATAAATAAAAAATATATATAATCTATAAATAAAATTTTTAAAAATATAGTGTAAAAGTTGAAATATTTACAATACAGTTATGAAACCTTTTGCTATGTTTCATAATATCTATATATATATATTTTTTTTCATTAATTATAAATGTTCAACTAAAATAGCATTTTTTTCATTAATAAAAAAGTAAAATAAAATCCATACCAGACCCTTGTGTTTTAATTCCAATGACATCACTTGGTTTTCCTTTACCAACAGTGTTAAATGCAATAATATAAAACTGATGATGAGTTCCACAAGATAAATCATGAAATGTGTAAGTTGTTTGATGACTAGGAACTTGTCTTTCTTCCCAAGTTCCATGCTGTTTCATATGATAGAGAAAATATCCTAAAATTTAAAAATTTTTATAATGATTTTTAATTTAAAAAATTAGATAATAGATGTATAAATTATAATATCATATATATAGTATAATATGCCTACAGTTTTTTAAATCCAATGTTATACTCAACCTGTTACAGGACTATCTTCTTTATCAGAATAATTCCATTTCAAATGAATAGATGTTGCTGTTGTGGAAACCAACATTAATGTTGGAGAAATGGGAGGATCTATAAATAAAATTTTTAAAAATATAGTGTAAAAGTTGAAATATTTACAATACAGTTATGAAACCTTTTGCTATGTTTCATAATACATTCAAGAAAAAAAAATACATTACCTATTTTTATTAACTTTGACATTTGTAAACATTATCTTAATAAGCATGGTTTTAATTTTCATTATTAATAATTAACACCATTCAAAATCTTAGAATCTCAAACTATTAGATATTTTAGTATTTATTCTATTACAATATCAAATTTTGAAGTTATATGCAGCATTGGATTAAATAATCAGCATTTGGGGGATGCTCTGATCATCTCAGCTGTGGCGTGAATTTCTCCCCACTTCCATAGTTTGTCTAATTATTCAAGAGATGAAGATTATTAAATTATTTTCGACTAAAATAAATAATATTAAGTTTCTTATTTTATTGTTACTAATTGCTGGAATAGAACCAAATCCTGGTCGTTTACGGAAAACTCACACAAAGAGAGGAAAACCACCACTTACTTGTCGAAAATTTCTGACTAATAATATCAAACCTTTGGAATCCGAATCAAATCTTATCACCAAATATACTGAACCTAGAAGAGCCGAATCATCATTACAAACAGGTGAGCTAACTAATTTAACATTCTCACAAGAACAGTTACCTGCAGAACAAATAGACATTTCAACAGCAGAATTATGGAACAAGATATCATTACTACTAAGCTGGTGAGTCAATTTTCACTTATAGCATTTATAGCAGTGATTCCCACTGCCCCCTTGGTTCCATAAACTTGTACCCCAATGCACCCAACCATTTTCCCTTGTGTGAGAAAGGCTTGAAAATATTTTTAGAAAAACTTTTCTATGAACCTCACATTTTTCTCCTTACCATACATTCTTTTCCACTTCTGGAAATCATTAAATGCAATGTTTCTTCTTACCCATTTTAATTGAGGAAAGAGAAAGGTTGTCAGCGACCCAAACCCTTGCTTATGGTTACTGTTTGGTTGGAACCCTGCCTTCAGAACCCCACTTTTTTCACCTCTCTAGATTTACTCAGGAGATGGTAGCATCCACTTTGGAACCACTGACTTACAGCATACAATTACTTAGAATAAGATTTACTACCTATAAGAGCATTTGAAATGAATAAAGTTAAATGCACTGTGATTGTCACAGCAAAAAGTTTTGATCTTTCTTGAAGTAAGAATTTCCCTTTCAGTATTTTTAACAATTTCAGAATGGTTCTTATGTAATCTGTATGATACATTTATAAGAGGCATGGATTGAGTCAATCAGTTGTTTAATTGAAACAATTTCTATTACAGCATTTTCATGACATCTCCTCTTAAGGCTTTGTTATCTATATTTGTTATAATAGAAAAAACTTGTCAAGTCATTTAACATCTTGGCTGAAGAAGCTAATAATAAGCTATTGATAATGCCATTTGCTATCAGATAAACAAAATAAACTGGAAGTGACATGAAATACAGCCAAAAACCCTGTGTTTGGTTAGCTAAACATAAACATACCTAGTGTTTGGAATCAAGGTGTAAGAAGGAAAGGTAAGAGAGTTCTGTTTCAAAACCATCCAAGGTTATGTGAACAAATAAATATTATCTACCAGATTGCACAATAGTTGTAGTTGGCTATTTTTTCATGTAACTGTGTGCTCTATTAGATTCATATGCATGAAAAAAAATTGTTGTTTTGTTTACTTATGATTTATGATGTGAGAATAAGAGGGCACAAGGTCAATTACTAATTGCCTCTTACATGTCGAGTTGGTAAAACTCGCCCACTTTGTCTTTTGGATGGCTTTTTTTCTTTGAGTGGTGAGGGAGTTGAGCAAGTCAGCAGGTGTCCAAGTTTCAGAGTGACAGTTAACAAAGGTTTAAAACAGTATTATAACAAAGTATTTATTATATGACTAAATCTAGATTACAGGAGGTTATAGAAAGCTAAATGCGGTTACATGCGGTTAAATACTAATGAAGTTCTATACAAAAAGGGTAACTAAGCCTATTCCTGTTAGTAATCTGAGAACTCTCTCTCCACAGCTATCAAAAATACCTCTATGCATTAATTGACCGATGTATGCAATGACTGGATTCTGTATGGAAGTTCGGGGCCATTATGTCTTCCAACCAGGGTCTTCTCCTTAATCTAAATTGGTGGAGGTCCAGGAGACTAGGATGGCACATTCAACAAATATAACTTCCTTTGGATCGCCTTGAGCTTCCAGTAACTCTCGCTTTTATATGTTCATCGTGGGAAAAGGGTCACATGATTGTATGATTGTTGATGATGACAGTGCATTCTTGACAACTAAGTGTCAACTTTTCCCACTGACCTCTGATCTGACTCACTATTTTTTTCCCAGGGATGTTTACATTTTGGAAAAACCTGATTAGCATTAATTTTAAGATCCCCTTAAAAATCCACAGGCTAACATCAACTACTAATGAAAATTATTTGGGTACCAATATTTGCTTCATTTGCTAGTGGCAAAGTGTCTTTCTCAGTAAATTAGTTAGAAATGTGCAGTTTAATGATAGGAAAAACATGTTTTGTGACTGGATGCAATGATGGATATGTCACATGTTCAGAAAAAGTAAGTTTATTTATAGCAGTGGTTCACAATTTTTCTCATATCCCAAACCCTTAAAATCCCTACACCATGATGGACCACAGACCCTCACAGAATTCCACAGACTTTTAGGTCTTGCTAACCACCAGTTGAGAAATGCAGATTTAAAGGATCTAAAGATCTGGAATTGTTATTGAAGTGACAGCAAATCATCCCACAAAAGACAGACTTTATAAATCAACAGATTCATTTATGACAGACATTTTGCACCCCCTATTAAAGACTGAAATGCTACAAACAGAAGTATGTGGAAATTTTTGGGCATCAACGGAAACTTCAATAAACAAATTACCTCTGTAAAAGTTCATCCGATGGAGAATTATTTCTAATAAAATAAAATTGAAGACAAAGATTTTTGTCTTGGAACACAAGTAATAAATGGTGATCCTTTTTGGACAGTTTTGTCTTTAATTTTATTTTATTATAAACAAATTACCATCAAATTTTTAAGTTTATCTAAGCTATTTATTTTACATATATAGTTGTAAGCTTCTTGCCTCTAATCAATTACATAATTATATCAAACTCCCAATTAGTGGAAATATATAAGGCTTATCAAACTATATTGGAGTGTTAGAAAATTAAGATCACATCAATAAAAGACTAACTTCATTTGTGAGATATATTTTGGTTTTCATTAGACACTCTTCAGCTACTATTACATAAATACTAATACCTGCAATATTTAAACTAAAGATTACAGATATATGGACATACACTACTATCTATCTGTAGAGCCAATTTTTAGTAATTAAGTTAAAATATTGCAGGTATTAGTATTTATGTAATAGTTGCTGAAGAGGGTCCAGTGAAAACCAAAATGCATCCCACAAATAAAATTAGCCTTTTCTTAATGTGACCTCAATTTTATACAGTTTGATAAGCCCTGTTTTACATAGTTTTGTGATGTTTTGTTTTAGGTGATGCTAAACATTACATGCAAATTATGTCTATTAAGAAGCCATTTTCTGATTGACTTTATAAGATGAGGAATATCAGAAAATATGAAAATTCTTTTGTTGTCATCTGAATGATGCGTGAAGTAATCTATTTTTTGTAAACTTATTTAAATACTATATTTTTTAACAGTTGATTTATTTATTTATTTAGGTTTTGAATGATGATATCATTAAATGGGAACATTATCAAGTTTCACTTGCCCTGGATTCCAAAGCAGGATGTTTAAAAGTTTGTCCTAAACTAACTACTAATCACATTTATCCAAACACTTTTTAAAAAATGAAAGTTAAATTGGCTATCCAAACATGTTTCTATTAGAATAAGTATACAACGAATAATAGTATTTATGATTTATCTTAAAATTTAGATAAACCTAACATGGTTTAGGTAATTTTGAATACATCTTTAAAATACTTTATTTTGTCTTATAGGTATTTAGCAACTCAATTACAGATGGAATGAAGCTTTTGCTCACAGGGTGACATCAATATTACTGCTGAGAGTCCAACAATCAGATTCACAAAACATATAAATGATCTTTTTGATGCTCTTAATAGACAATTTCCTTCAGAAGATGTGAGAAAGAATCAAATGTTCTACAACAAAGATAACAATATTTCCATACTTTTACTTTTTTGCTTTTTGTGACTTTTATAGTTTTCTTTTAAAGAACTAGTTTTGTTAAATTATTATTTCTGTTGTACAGTACATACTCAAAGATAACCTCAAATGGTTGAACACCTGAGAAAACAGTGTAAAAACAAGCAAATTCTACTATCCAAATAGCTGAGGGTATGTGAGTTACTTTACTGTCAGCTATAGATCTGATTGAAATTACGGATTTTTTAACAGGGAAAATTAATCAAAATATACTTGAGGTAAGCATATAAGCTAAAGTAAAAAATTTGCATCAACTGGTTTAGTTTTTTTTAAGTTAGCACTTCTTTGGTACAATTCATCAAGCTGGTGAGGGAAATGATCAACAACAAAGCAACATTTATACACTTGTACCAACTGTTGATGATTTATTCTTTGATAAAACCATTGCATATGGAAAATGTACTATTAATGAACAAAAACCAGTTTTTGAATTGATATATTTTCATTTTTGACAACAGAAACCTCTGGCTCAATAAAAACCACATACATTAATAACCTTAAAAAAAGCTGGGCACTCTTTTAATTCAGATACCTCCAGAATGTGATGCTGTTATGGAACATGATTACAGCAAAACACAAGTTTGAGACTGAATTATTTACTAAGAGTTTTATGTAGAAAATGTCTACAGAGAAAAAACAATGTCAAGTTTGCATTAAAGCATTTTCTACATGCAGTTTCTTGTTTCCAATTTAAAAGAAGCTAAACTTGATAATGTGAAAAATAGAAGTGGATTTATCCAAAAGTATGGATTTGGCTACAAATACAAAACTGTGAAAAAATATCTGTTTATGAAGACTGCATAAAACAAGGCATTGCAATTTCCATGTAAAGAACATGCAGAAGAAATGCTATCTTACATAATTCATTATGTAAGATAGCATTTCTTCTATATTGTATTGAGAATATGCCAATATGTAAAACAAAAAAATTACTTGCTTGGGTTGAAAAGCAAAAGAAAAAAATTTCAAAGATGCTTTCATAATAAATTTTTTTGTATTATAATTATAAATACCATATTTACTCACATATAAGACAATCTCACATATAGAACAAGATGTGACTTTAAAGATCAAAATAACGAAAATTAGATTTATTAATACAATTCTAATTTTATTTCGTTTAATCACAAAGTAAAATATTAAATAAATGTAAATGCACACATTGTCCCACAAAAATTACTGGCATTTTAAAGTTTAACGAAAAATCTTGTAAAATCGACAACATAATTTATTCATGTAAAGCTGGACAATCAGAAACCTTTTTTTATGCAAATTCTTAACAATAGAATCCACTCTCCGTCGATTACACTTATGAGTTTCTCCGAACTCTGATTTTTGAATAATCATCTATTTTCACATGAGAATGGATGAGATTGAAATTCAATTCAAAAGCTTTGCTTTTCCTATTGCTATTCATCTTTATTCCTGACAATATACAAGAACGATTCAAAGAATCCAGATATAATACTTATGTTTTTAAATACAAGAGGGTAAGCATCTGGTAAAAAATGCAAATACATGGTTCACAAAAATTATTTGCAAAATACAAAGAATCTTTTGCTCGTGTGTATAGGACGACCTAGGAATTTGAAGCTGTGATAAATGAATAAAAACCTTGTCTTATATGTGAGTAAATACGGTAAATAAACATTTTTCTATTTTCAGTCATTTAATCTTTAATTACGCTATCTCTCTCTGCAAAATTTGAATTTAAAGTTTGATTTTTACAAATCAAAGTAAATTCAAATTTTGTAATCTAAGTAGTAGTTTATATTTATATACTTCAATGGAAAAATAGACAATGTTACATGGTGTGCCTGCCATCTGGCAGATTCTAGGCAAACAATGAAAGGAATGTGGATGAGTTTTAGTGTATAAAATTATTAGAGCTCCCTCATCTCTCCTTCTTACATTGTGTTTGGAATCATCAGCTGAGTGACAACCATTTTATAACATCAAAATTAGTAGCCTCTGTTGACCACCTGTTTAGTTCCAGGTCAAAAGGTTAAAGAAAGAAGTCAACCTAATTGTGAAATGATTCAAGGATGATTGGAATTCCTGCTCATTTTACAGAAAGACCCTCAGAATAATGTTCTTAAATTGGACTTGGCATTTATTAATTAATGGCTATCAGCCTCATCCTCATTTAACCAGGGTAACTAGTCAGCTGAGAGCCATGGATGATAAAGTATAGTAAAAAATCATGAAATGTAAGCAAAAATAAAAAGGTAAATTATTGATTTCCAAGAATTAAGCAAAAGTCAAAATATACTGTTACAAAATATTTTGTAACAGTATATCTTTTAAAAGTGCAGATATACCATGATATTTAGATTTAGACTTCTTGCAGGCTAGAAGTTGTATCTAAATTAATGACTCTGGATGTGAACCAGATGAATGTAGTGTAACTAGCAACACAACTGCATGATAAGCAGGAGTTGTGGGTTCAAGTCTTGTTCCAAGCAGATCCTTTTTTTCCAGAATATTCTAAATTAATTTATCATGAGTTGATGGCTTAACCATCTAGCTCTAGCTAATTTCTTCATGTCTGGTTATTAATTCTTAATATAATCTGATGAATATTTTTAATTGCTTTATATAACAAAGACAATATACAACCCATATTATCAAAAGGTTAACTGAATTATTTATTATTTTTTGATTTATATACAAATGTGTAATTGCTTATTTTGCAAAGATTAATTATAAATATTTTTGTATATATACATACCACTTTGTAATGTTTCTAAAATAAGTTCTTCAGATGGAGGACTATTGCCTTTAGAATTATATGCTTGTACAATTATGCTGTACTTTGTAGCTCTTTTAAGATTTGTAAGAATAACTTCTTCTTTAGAATTATCTTGTACTTCAAGTGTTTTATAAACATATGCATCATCTGATCCATACACTTTATATGCCACATAATATCCTCTGATGATGCCATTCCTCATTTCTTTTCTTGGAGGCTGGAAAAAAGATCCTTAATTATTACAAAATATTGAAATAAAATATATAGTAATAAGAAATTATTGCATTTGACCTATATAAATAGGAATATTAGAGTTACAGGAATCAAATTAAATTATTATGAAACTTTAATTAGAAACAGGTGATGATGTCACCTCATAAGTAATTTAATGATGATAATTTTAAAATATTTTAAATTACATTGAATTCTAAAGAAAATATGCTGGACTTTGCACTAATCCAAACTAATTGGCAGATTCAGATTCATGTCCCAAGTACATCAGTCTACATTATTTATTTGTGGCCATGAGCATTTGGCAGAACCATTCGGCACATTTGGTGCCAATATAGAGGTATGAAATGGCACTATTGGTGCAGGTTTTACACTCCATTAATAGTTTTTACTAAACTAAAGATTTTAACATAAATATAATAAGGACACCAAACTCGTTTCCAAATGCAAATTTTTGGACTGCTGAAACTCTGTCATAAAATACATGAGAGAGCTACATGGATAGAATGTTTGTTACAACCAATGAATCAAGCACATATCATGCCAAAGACAAAGTAGGGAGATCAGATATGGAGAAAAATCAGACCTTTATTTCTATCATCTCAAGAAATTGTATTTGTACAGATTATATAGATCCTTGATCTTGGCTTTGTTTAAATTGGTAGCAGCCTAATTGGTGACTTCAATGACTTTCTCACAGTTGTTAATCTTAGAAAATATTTTGTAACAGTATATCTTTTAAAAGTGCAGATATACCATGATATTTAGATTTAGACTTCTTGCAGGCCAGTATAGAACATTCACATTATTAATCTGAAAATACTGGATGGCATATTATCTTACTGCTGCATCCATTTTTTGCAGTCAAACCAGCACTTAATCCATGGGAGAAAGACCTGTTGACTCCAGATAAACAATGCTATAATAATTTTAATTGATAACATCAAAATTATAACACCATTCTGCTCATGCATAACTTAAAGAAAATTTTACAGAAAAATCATGAAATGTAAGCAAAAATAAAAAGGTAAATTATTGATTTCCAAGAATTAAGCAAAAGTCAGTAAAAATTTATACAAAAATTATCAAGTTATTACTTTGTTAGTCAAATTAAAAATGTATTATAAGTAAATTCTAAAGTGTATACACTATATTCACTTTAACATTTATCCAGATACAAGAGCGATCTAAGCAGCATTGCAACAGTATATGTGGCATTAGTGGTGTTTACAACAAAATTAATTAATTCATTGAAAACAAAAATCAAGTTTGAATTGCATGATAGTTCCACAGTAATAAATTTTTCCTGTCACTCTCCCAAGTGTAAAGATAGCAGAAGGAAATTATTTTAAGAAAATTTAGCATAACATAGCAAATTAAAGCTAACTATTCTTTGTATGGTATATTGTTCAAAACAATTTGCTCTTGGTGTTGCTGAAAAGGGCTTGTGGACTCAAAATGCACAATAGCAAGCATTTAATCTCATTTCCTCATAAAGTATACAGTAATACCCCGACTTACGCGAACCCGGAGTTACGCGATTTTAAAATCTTGTTGATTTGTCTTTTGTTTGAGCGCCACGCAACCCTTGATTACTCACTCCCCCCACACTATTGTTCAGCTTATATGTTCGGATCTGTTGCGTGGAATCCACACATAGCTACAATTTATTTTGTGTTATTTATTTCTGTGTTTGTTATATCTACGGAGACTCGAGAGACTCTACTATGTCATCGAAACGAAGTAGAACTAATTCTTCTGCATCAAACAAGAAAAGAAAAGCTTTATCTTTGGAATGTAAAGTTAACATTGGGTATGTTCGTAAAGTCGAACAAGTTAAACGAGAATGACGTCATCGTTATTCCTATTTCGTTAGACTTTTCGAACGATTCGTTACTAACGCGTTTAACTCGTTTGACTTTACGAACGTACCCATTATTAAAAAACTTCGATACAAAAATGAAAATTTGTGAATTGGCAAAAAAGTTTGATCTACCGAAATTGTCAGTCAGAACGATTATAAAAGGCAAAGAAAAAATTCTCGAAGCTGTGAAAAATGCTCAATCTTTAAATTCAAGCACCATTCGTAAATGTCTTTACAGTATTATCACTGAGATGGAAACTATGTTAAAATTATGGCGTAATAATAAGGTAAATGTGAAAAACTAAAATAATATAGGCCTAATTTGTTATACATGTGTATTATCTAAGATTTTATTAAACATTTTTTTCTAAATTATTGTTTTCTTTAGTCTCTGGCCCCAATTAAAAATTATTTGTATGTATTTATATGCGAAATTATATCCCGACTTACACGGTTACCGCTCGGTCCCACCTATCGTGTAAGTTCTGGGTATTACTGTAATCATTTCACAACACTGTTTATGACTGTAAGAAATTACTGCAGTGTCCTATCAATTAGCACACTGCATAATATTGGTTCTTTTATAAGGACATCAGTATCATGTGATCTTTACAAATCATGTAACAACACATTCTGTTCTGTTTGAAAAATTAATTAATTTCCATGGAACTTCAATATGATTTACATGTTTCTTTTTGAATTAATTTATTTATTTTATTGTAAACATCACACCCTGTATGTTCTGAAAATGATCTAGTTTAGTGCTATTGATAATATAACTGCCAAGCATATGAAAATTGTAGATTTGAATCAGTTTCAAATTATAATTTGTTAACAAATTTACAAATTAGAGAGTATCATCATCTACTTATAAAATTATTATCTAAAAGTGTCATTTAAAATCAAAAATGCATTGTAATCCAATATGTTCATTAGAGATTAATGATGAATAAAAAAGTAAATGCAGATATTTTATCTTTAGACCATTCAAGTATAGGGGCCATTTATACATCATTCAAACATTGTCTAATTGAAATTTAAGTCAAGCTACACCACGAGAATAAACCAGAAACACCATTTCATTAACCACATTTGATAAGATTACAGTGATCAAATAAACAAAATTTACATTCCTGATTTACAACACATTACAAAGTGAATTTTGCTTATTCAAATGCCACTGACAATGAATATTGTAAAAGACAAAATGCTTCCTTTAAGTAATGCATATTGGAATAATTTCTGAAAGGAGCATTCTTTTTAGTACTTCAAAACATTATTTTTAGTACTTCAAAACATTAAAACCATGAACAAATGTCTACACTTCTCAAAAATGCAAGATTATTACTAGTAGATGATTGCCTAGTTGTAATTATACAATAATCTACTATTTTACTATTAATATTCTCTTTCTGAGAAGCACAGACTAGATTACATCATTTAATTCTGGGAATATGAAAGAAGAATGTAAGAAAAAAACAGAATGTATTCTAGAAATTTTGAAATTCTTCATATTTGATTATAATTTATATTATATTTTTTGTTATCAGGTTTTGATTTTGGTTCTTAAAATTCTGCTTTTAAATTCATTAGAATATTTTATTTATTAACTGTCTGTTTTTGTTTATAAACACAAGCAAAATTAGGTCTTTATTGTTTAATTTACAAAATATTTAGATTAATTTGGGTTAGGAGTTGTTGTTATAAATGAAAACGTAGATTTGTAACAAACAGTTCTAGTTGCATTTTTATTTTAACAAAAGAAAAGACGAAATAAATAAATAAATATTTTATATATAATACTTAGTCAAATATTTCTTCAGAGATGACTCATTTATTTTGCTACAATTCTGCAATAAATATAGATTAAATGATTCCTTTTTTTCATTCAAACAAAGTTTTCACTTAACATCACAGAGGTTTTTTGGAACTGAGTGTAAGCAAAATAATGTACAACAAAACTCTTCTTTATATCAATTAGTCTATAGTAAAATTGTTTAAGTTTCTAACATATTTCTAGTTAGAATAAATGGGAGCTATACATATTGTTTGTTTTCATTAATTGTTCTTAAATGTAAGATAATTATTTACTGAATCAGTGAGTGATAGTGGAAGAGAAGCTTAATTCTGAGCAGTTTTGTATAGTTTATCATTTTATATACATGTGATTATCATATATTGCACAAATTTTAATTTCCAATGTATTTATTCCAGTTCACTCACACCAATTAATCCAATATGCACATCTACAACATTGATGATAAAAAAAATATTTTAATGAAACAGATTCCTGAGCAGAGTTACTGTCTGTTTGGGTTTTCTCTAGATATACACATTTTAAACATTTTGTTACATATATGATAATCAGAAATAATGATTTCTAAATTTATTTTATAAATGCAAACAATTTTAAATTTCTACTCACTTGCCATGTCACACGAATAGATTGAGATGCAATTGGAACAGCTCTCACTCCAAGTGGAGGACCTTCAGGTGCTGTTATAATTGATAAAAAGAAACTTTGAATAATTGGTGAAAATAGTAAGTTAAAATGAAATCATGACTTCAAAAAATATTTCAAAACAGTTTTAACAGGAATAAATATTGCAAAAATTTTGTAAATCTAATAGAAATTAGAAATAACACTTAAATTATGTATAATTTTCAGTATTAAATCAATATCACATTTAGAAATACAGTAAAGCGTCGAATATCCAAATGCTGATCAACTGAAACGTCAGTTAAACGAAAGCGTTCCAGTCAGACTGTGTTGTGCTGAATCAAACGTTTTTGATACTAGATTATTTCTTTATTTTGTATAAACAAAATAAATATATTGAAAAATATAAAAAGAAAAAAAATTATATTTTAGAAATTAATTTTTAACAATACAATAGCCATCATTATTATTATAAAAATTTTCATTAGGCTTAACATTGACAAAAATGCAACACGAAGTGACATGCAATGGATAAAAATTTAAATATGGGATATATTAATATACTATTATTGGGATATACTAATACACTATATTAATAATATGTTTTTTTGTACATAATCAGTTATCCGAAAAATTGATTTTCTGAACAACCCCAGTCCCCAATTGATTCGGATAATCGACACTCTACTGTAATTAAAATTTTGTTTTTTGGAACTGAGTGTAAGCAAAATGATGTACAACAAAACTCTTGTTTATATCAATTAGTCTATAGTAAAATTGTTTAAGTTTCTACAGCATATTTCTATTTAGAATAAATGTGAACAATTTAAAAAACAATTTCATTAAAGCATGGAAAATTATTCCATAATTGTATATTATCATGAAAATCATAAATATGCATTATTTAATTAACACTAATACAAACAAATACCAGCAGATAGCCTTTTTTTATCTGAGAAAGGCCTCTCAGTGCTGTCAAAAACATTTGTAATTTCATTAAATACTGTTATATAGATAGGTAAAAATGTATCCATCCTTGTTCTGAGTCTTAAGAAATGCCATTAAATGTTTTATGCTGGAGTAAGTACATATGCTAATTTTTGTTTGTTTTTGTTTTAGTCAATTGTTCCAGTTTACTGGTAAATTAAACATGCATTGTTTAAGAAATATCTTAGACTGTAAATATTATTTTATAGTAGTATTAGAATATACTGCATATGTAACCTATATAAATATTCACCTATTTCATTTATCAAAGAAATATCACTGTAATGAAGTTAAGTGTTAATATTGCTTGATATTAAAATTTATTAATTCAAGATGTAGATGAAATTTATTATAAACTAATTTTATCATAAGTATTCATTTGCATGATGCTGTAGAAATGAGGCAATCATGTACGAGTATCTTACCGTTCTTGTTTTCATTTTCATATCATTGGAAGTAAGCATAAGATTGCTTAAGAGAACTAATTGCACAAGAACACAGCTGGGATGGATATACAAGCTTTATTGATTGCAAAAAAAATGCATTTTGGACAATGTTTCCTTCTTCAATCCTCTTTATTTAATATTACTCTGGTTAAAAGCATTGCAAATTTTAGGTTACAGTTATAACATAAAATAAATTCTATTTGTTGGGATTGGGTGTCAATTCCGACAGAGTGGGTCGTTTCTGACATGCGCGGTCATGTGGTGGGGGAGGAAGTGGCAAATTGGCATCCAACAGTGATTGCCAGGCCAGAGACAAAGTCCGGCTAACCACGTGCATAAACCGGAAAGAAGAGCTGACTCTGTCTCTGGCCTGGCAATCACTGTTGGATGCCAACCCGCCACTTCCTCCCCACCACACGATCGCACATGTCAGAAACAACCCACTCCGTTGGAATTGATACCCAATCCCAACAAATAGAATACACTCTATCCAGGGAATTCCAGTTGATCTGAAGAAGAGCAAAGAGATTGCTCGAAAACGTTTGTCAACAGCGATATACAGTATATACACATCGCACACTGGTTACAGGTTCCAGATAGTGTAGTGTAGATTTCACCCCAGTGCCGAGAGTAGAATAGTTTCTGTATTTCAGCAAATAGTTATTTATAGTTATTAGAATCCATTTTCTGCTATTATAACTACAATGCACATAACTTCTGTAACTAAGTAAACAGTAAAAAGTTTTAAATAAAAATTTTTTTATAATTTACAGGTATTTTTCTATAATAATAAGTTTGTAATAAACTTCTATTAAAACAATAAAAATAAATGTAGGGATAGTTATTGAGATAGAGAAATAGAAATGACAATAATACAGCATTTGTAACCATCTTGATAGAATGATAATATTCTCGCCTTCGTAATGTCTTTTTGTCCTTTTTCACTTTCATGTCGTCACCAACTGTTGTCTTTCTCACTTCTGCCCTTACTTGACTCTCTCCTTCTTTCTCCTCGCCTCCCCACAACCCCTCTTAAATTTATTGTGTTGTTAAGCATAAAGTCTCTTAGGGCACAGAAACATGATGGTAGTTTTATAGATGGATATAACGAATCAAAATCCATGACCGTCATATATTCATTGTCTTTGAGATCAATATCTTTGAGCTTCTCTATTAGTTGCAGCGCATTAGTGATGGTATATGGGTGGACATTTTCTTTGGAACGAATGAAGTTAACTAGTTGCTTAGAGAAATGCAGTTCTCCAACATTTCTTATTGAAAAGCAACTAGTTAACTTCATTCGTTCCAAAGAAAACGTCACCCATATACCATCACTAATGCACTGCAACTAATAGAGAAGCTCAAAGATATTGATCTCAAAGACAATGAATATATGACGGTCATGGATTTTGATTCGTTATATCCATCTATAAAACTACCACCATGTTTCTGTGCCCTAAGAGACTTTATGCTTAACAACATAGAGAATTCCAAAAAATACCGTAAGGACATTCTGGAACTCACAGATTTAATCTGTTACACATCCTTTTTCAAATTTAATGGAAATATTTTCCTGCAAAACAGGGGAGTTCCTATGGGCAGCCCTATGTCGCCCATACTTTGCAATCTGGTTTATGTCAACTAGAAAATTCTTTATTACCGAAATTCAAAGAAGAAGTCATTCTTTATTCTAGATACGTTGACGATGTATTTATTCTTTGGAAAAATAATATCAACGTCCTTGCTTTCTTAAATAACATCAATAATAATAATTACGGTTTAAAGTTGCGCCTGGACCAGGAAAGCTTTACTAATGTCCATTTCCTTGACGTCAACATCATATGCAAAAGAGGTGAAATATGCACTAACATCTACAGAAAACCGGGTCTAAATAACATCATCATACCACACAAGAAGAAGCAACATAAAATAATGAATACCAATTGGTCTTCCCTTGTCTTCGGGCAACAATTTGAAACTTTTCAGAGTGTGGAAGACTTCGACATCGACACTCAAGCTGGTATATACCAATTGGATAGTAATCCTCTGAACCTTGAAACACTCCCTTGTAATTCCAGCCTTTTATTTTTCTGACAAAACAATTCTTTTATGTATTTGTGAGACTGTCAGATAGGGACTCATTAAGTTTAGGCATCTTCTGCCCACTCTCTACCTTTGCTATTATACTCTCACCTTTCGAAAAGAAAAACAGATGCAAATGTTGCTGGGCAGTATGTCGTGAACAGGTCTACAGTAGGCCGCAGTTCAATCTTATTTAAGAAAAACACTGTATAATCAAAAAGACTCAAGCAGATAAAGGAGTAACAAAAATCACATCTGAGAAATAAAGAACATTGAAGAGTTCATAATGGAACCTGAAATGGATCTGACGACAGAAGAATGCCAAGAACTCTTGAATGAAGAACACCAAGAAACTCAGCGAGATATGTTTTCTTCTGAAAAAGAGGATTAATGCCGATATGTTTTATTAAAGATCCTTTGAAGAAGTGGGAGGATTTCAGAACAACGGTCTTAGAATGGCATCCAAACCAGGTTGAGGCTTGGGGATTTCTACAATTGCAATCCTATTAATTACTTACAAAAAATCTTGAAGAGAGAAAAGCAATCAACATCAGACAGATTCTTTAACCCTTTCAAATGGGAAAAACATGACTAATAAAAACACAAGACTGTGTATGTATGTATTTTTATTATTACATATAAATAAATGTAGTAGGAAAGTATATATTTTTTATTTTTGGGGGTCTCCAGAACAAATTAATTAAATTCCCATTAAAACCTATGGTAAATTGATAATCGGTTAATGAACAATTCGGATAGCGAACAAAGTCTTGGAAGGAATTATGTTTGTTAACCAATCACCCACTGTATTTTTTATTTAATAGAAAAATATTTAAAAATTACACAAACAACCAAACAAAGAAACTGGTGAATTAACCCCTGAACAGTAAACAATATCTATGTGGCTATCTTTTCACTATTTCAGAGTCTTCTCTAAATAAAATATAAACTTCTCAGAATGTCTAAAATTTCCTTTGATGAATTTTTATTGAGTAACACTGAGACTTTTTTGTTTTTGTTCTTATAATCTGTGTGTGAAGTATTCCACAATAATGATTTCCTCTCAACTTCATATTAATATTTCAGTATCATTCAACATTTTTGTAAAAAACAGAAGATAAATTTTGCACTTGTGTGACTAACTACACTCTCTTCTATTGTATTCAATGACATGCATTGACAAAACTTGATGTCCATTGTAGTTTGAGTACATTCATTCCATGTCCATTAAAAAATACATGCATGGAACATATTGTAGCAGTACTATGTTTTCTATTAGATACCACATGTGTATTATTGTATTTTTTAATGAACATACTTTATACACTCATGCATCTCCAGCCTAATATGTTTAGTATACAATTTTGATCTCAATAATGCAGTGTTTAATAATCCAAAAAGTGTTGTCTCCTTCAGGTTTGTTTGCAGTGCTATGTTTCTTAAGTATGGCTCAAACAATTAAAAATAGAAAACTTTTACAATATAGCAGTAATTATGCAAACATATTTATAGCAAGCATGTTTTCAGCCATCTTAAATAAATATCATGATATTCTAGAATCTGATAATACCCATTTAAGATGACTGAAGATATCTTTATTATTGCATTATTTTTAATGAATAAATAACATTGTAAAGAGTAGTTCCAATTTAATAAAACAAATAAAAAGAAACTCAAAGCATTTAAAAAATATACAGTATAGTAATTTATTAAATTAGATTTATAAGAAAATTATATAAGAAATTTTCTGATAATATAATTACTTTCTTCCATTGTTGTAATATGAACTACTTGACTTGGTTCACTCCAACCTAAAGCATTTTCAGCCAACACTCTAATATGATAATTTGTTACTGGTCGTAACCCTCTTATCATCCCTGTAGTTTCTCTGCCAGATAATGATGTTGTTCGTTCAGCTGTCTCCCAACTATCTGTGCCAATTGGAACAACATTAAATATATATATATAANAAATATATATATAAAAATTTTTTAATGTTTTATAAGATTTAAAATTAAATGTTTACATTTTTGTGATTCCTTTCATTCAATTATTAGATTATAAATTATAAAAGTTATTTATATATTTTGACAATTATTTCTATCAAAAAAACTTTTTACAGTTCAAAAATATTTCACAAATTTTACAAAATTTACTTACTAGTTTTTTTAATAATAATAATTTATTTATATTTACAAAATGTTGTTGTAAAAGTTTATGTATATATGTAGTCCATATATATAATTTATTTAGTGTATAGAGTAAATACCTAGTAATTCATATTTCAAGATGACCATCACAATTATGATTGCTTTATTTGTAACTATATCATAATTGTGATGGTTTTTTCCACTAATTTTTTCCACTAATTTTTATTTAAGTTATTTATAAACTTCTAGAAAAATGACATATCCATAGCTGCTTGCTTCACTAGACATAGACATGCACATTCATATATTTAAAATTTTTTTAAAAGTTTTGCCAGTCATAAAATTAAAAATTAAGAAACTTGTATAAAGTAGTGATGGACCAAATATGGTTTTTTGCTAAATACTGAATACCAAATAATTACTCAGATGTTACTGTTACAATATATCAAATACCTAATATTCAGCAATATCAGCATAAAAGAAAACGCTTTGCATAAGGTATAGGGCAGCATTTCCTATTTAATAATTTAAAAAGAAAAATAAAAACTCCTGTAATGAAAAGTAGGAAATTAAATCTTACCATTTTTTTTTGTCAACAAACAGTGTGCTTATTTATGATAACCAACAAAATTGCTTACTTCTTATGAATGTACAAGCATTACTGTTCTTTTTAATAAAAATAAATAATATTTGCATTTCTGAAAACTATATTTGTTTTGGAATGATATTAAAAACTTATTAATAAATAACAATAGTTTAAAATTTTCTTTTCATTCTTGTGTTTCTTTTTACTTCTTTCTCTTTCAACTAAAATGAAATTATACTATTGTGAGATGAATATTTGGACTTTGGTCCAAATATTCATCCTCCTCAAAATCAAAGTAACAAGCTGCTCAATGACAAAATAAAAAATATATCATGTTATCTTAGACTACACATACTTACCAAATTTATAAGAACATATCATCTTTCGATAAGAAAATTCCAAAATTGTTCAATAATGAATTAAATTTATTTGAAAGTTATTATAAACATAAACAAAGTGATTAATCTCAATACTTTTTCTCTGTATACAGACTGATACAGATCATATAATGTGATTTGTTGATTTTAATAATGAAAAAGATAAGTAATTTTAAAAGATTGTGCTGAACATACAATTAGAATTAAACTTATATGTTTAAAAACTAAATTGTATAAGATATCATCAACTCTTTTTGTGAATTTCATCTGAAATACTTTTGAAGTATAAAGTTCAACTTTTGTAATGTGTGTGTTTGATATACAGTAAAAAATCTGAGTATAGATTGTAGTTTAATGATTAAATCACTTAATTTCTATCTAGTGGATTTTTGCACTTTAACAATTAATCTATCATGTAAAAAAGAAATCCTTTTTGTAACAATAAACATTCAAATGATTTAAACTTTTTTTTGTAATTTACACAATAACAACAGAAAAATATTTCTTATTCAATAATTTAATAATGAAATTTTACAAAACTGTATTATTATTATAGGATTGAAAAAGACATTATTATTGTATTTTTCAAATTGTTTTTGACATTTTCTGCTGTTATTTATGTTTTTCAGTTGAAACCATTAAATGATGAATCACAAATAACAAAATGTAATGAAAGGACTAACAAAAATAATTAATTTTTCTAATTGTATGCAAATAAACACAGGAAATGTTTTTCTAAGTCATCTATTAAATTAATAGGAGTTAAGCAAAGACTTCAAACAGAATCAAGCAGTAAATAAACTATTAATAATTACTGCATGTATATAAATGTATGATATTTTTTCTATCAACAGAAATACCATAACTTTATATTAAAAATTGTACATAATATTTCTTTTCTTGTAGAATTTCATCATATGGCAAATTCTACAATTGAAACTTTAGCAAAGATTCATCACCAGGGGAAGCTAAAAAATCTACACTTACCAGTACCTTTTCCTCAGTGGATATAAAGTTAAAATATCCCAGAGCTGTAAGGATGGAAAGAAAACGAAGATGTTCCAATTTTAAATTTGTAATTTTAATTGGATATTTTTCTGTGTTTTTTTTAAGGATGTTTTTAAACTTGATGGCCAAGCAGCCTAAAAAGAAAGTCAGATTGTCAAATGTTTGCATTTTGGAACACTAGAAGTAAATAAATGATGGTTCCCAGTTTTGGACAGACTGTGTCTTCAAATTAATTTTGTTCTAACTTGTGCAACAAGAAAAGAAGTGAATCAGAGTTTCTTTATAACAATTAAAGCACAATTTCAGCAACTTAATTAAATCATTTAGAGCAGTAGGCTATGCCAAAAGCTCAAAAAAAATGAAATGTATATTTGTTACAAAACAACCAATAGTTACATTATTTATCATCAAATTTTTATACTATATATAAATAATGTGACCATCAATCATCATTCTCACCAGTATAGGAAAAATGAAGGTAATGCTAAACAAATCCAGAAAAACTTTCACTATTCATTTAAATTCAATAAAAAATAACAATATACTAGTTATAGCTATTTTTTTAAATTCACAAGTTTATTCTAATTCTTATATATATATTTTAATTATCATAGTTATAATTGATTTTGACATCTATGAATGTCAAAATATGATATTCCAATCTTGATACTCACCATAAATTAAAGCAAGATTATTAATACAAGAGTCAAATTCTTTGTTAATGAACTAATTGAATCAAGAATTCATATAATTTAAACAAAATTATATAGATACTTTAAATCAGCATAAAGTAATTTAAGAAGATCATCTTACCTGATGCCGCTTTATATTGTATTTTGTATGCTGTTATTGCACTATTTCCTGTATAAGGTTGTGTCCAACGAACTGTTATAGATCGACTGCTAATTTCTGATGCAAGGATGTTAGTAGGACTGTCAGGAGGTTCTGTAAACCAATAAATTTATTATTAAGCATATAACAATAAATTCCATCAAAATATATTTACAATTACATAAAAGTTAATTTATGTAATTGTAAATATAAAATAGCGGCATTCAACACATTAATTAAGCGAGCATATACTCATTCATCCACCAAGGCTGCTCTAGAATCTGAACATAGAAACATAGCTAACATAGCGAAACGCCATGGTTATTACAACCTTATGAATAAATTATCCAAGAAACTACGCCATCCGCAAGTATCCGCAAGAGACGCAGGGCAGGAAGATGACAGACCAGAGCATAAAGACAGAGTTACGGTCACTTACAACCCGTGGTTACAGAAACTCTACTCAGAGATTGCAAAAAAGAAAAACATCGATATCACATACAGGAGATGTCCCACGGTCTTTAATATACTCCGTAATGCTAAAGATCCTCCCAACAATCACATGCTGTCGGGAGTATATACCATCCCATTGAAGGATCATCGATGTGATGAACAGCTATTATACATTGGATCCACTAAACGCTCGTTATCTGTCAGATTAAAAGAACACATCGCAGACATACAGCATGGAAGAATAACCACGGCACTCGCTCGTTATGCCACAGATCCAGATATCGAACCTAAGTTTAGTGAGGCTAGAATCATTCACACCACACCACATACGGAACATCTAAGATGGATAGAGGCAATGTCTATATATAAAGCGGCCCGAAACAACAGGTGCATTAATAATAAGGAGGAATTATCTCTATCCCTAGCGTGGGAAATGCTTATACAGGACAGAGAAAATATTCTATAAAAAGAAAAATGTTTACATCGGTAAAATACGCATGCGTATTGATGACGACAGCGGCAGAATTCATCGTATTAGTTGATCGTTTCTCATTCAAATTTGGATTCCATCGAATGTTTTTTGAGTATTTAAGTTTTTTCACCTGAAGAAGAACCTAAGTGGGTTCGAAAACGTTTGTGGGAACTTTTTAACCGGATTTTT